CGTGCAATGCTGGGTTTAAAAAAAAAAAAAAAAAGTCTTCCTGTCTCTTGAAAATTCTTTTACCAAGTTAAACTGTACCACAAAATACATTTTATATTTATATTTACACTCTCATCTAAACCATTATTTATTTTTAAATATTTATTTATGTATTTATTTGAGAGTGAGACAGAGAGGGTGAGGGAGCATGAGCGGCAGGGCAGGGGCATGGAGAGCAGGCTTCCTGCTGAGCAGGGAGCCTGACAGAGGGCTGGATCCCAAGACCCTGAGATCATGACCTGAGCCAAAGGCAGACACTTAGCCACCTGAGCCACCCAGGAGCCCCTTTCATCTAAGCCATTATTAAGCCACGGGCCACTACTACGGTAATGACATTCTAACCTGCAGCATACTCACGTGGCAATGTTACGGCTGAGAGACCAGGGGTGAGGCCATGCACCGTCCTGCAAAATACTCTGAAACCATTAAGTTACCACCCGAGACTGATGAGTCTCCAAACTCAAAGAGCCCTGCCTTCCAGTAAGGCGTGAGAACCTCAAGCCATCCAGTTCTATTTCTGTAGCCAGGGCAGGGGCGGCAAACTTCTACAAAAGCTCAGATAGTAAATACTGTAAGTCACTGTGGGCTACGGGGATGGGGTCACTGCCACAGCTCGACTGTGCGGAGGAAAGCAGCCATCGACAGCATGTGCCTGAACGAAAGGGGCTGGGTTCTAACACAACTTTATTCATAAAAGCATGCAGTGGGTCAGACCGGCCCCGGAGGTGCAGTTGGGCAGCCCCCTCTTATGGGTGTGGGCCATATGGGTGTGTTAAACACTCATGTACATCCAGACGTGGAAGTGGGTGTGTATCGACCTGCAGCAGCCTGCCCACCCCCATGGCCTTGGCAGCGTCACGTCACGGGCGTGTGGCTGGGGCCGTCGTCCGGAGCTCCGTGTTTAGAAGGGTGCTGGGCTCTGCTGTTTAATGCTCTGTGGTCGACATCTTGAAATCTGTAATGATTATCTATTGGCATTTGTGCTTTGTCAGAGATGTCCGATGGGACAGTGGGACCCCCCCTTCATAGCTGTGGTCTTATCTCTTCACCGCCTCCCAGCAGCCCCGAGACTCAGACACTGTCCTCTGCAGCTGCCTCTTCTGGCACAGACTTGGGGATCTGGCCGCCTTCTGCCTCGGGTAGAATCAGGTCATGGCAGTGTGAGGGCGGGGAGGGACAGGTTGTGTTCTGCTGTTGCCCTCTGCCTCTGGCAGGAGCCCGGATGTGAGCCTGGGGAAGATTAGGTTGAGTGTGTCACCCCTGACAGACAGCTCAGGACACGGTGGTGACCATCCCTGCCTCCAATTGTCATCACTCCTGCCCGCTCGGGAGATCCAGCATGGAGTCTCTGCCCTTCCTGATCTGGGTCCCACCAGGCCTGCGCTCCCCGATGGGCATGCCTGTGCGGGACGTGGTCTGAAGTCAAACAGCAAATACTGGGCAAGAAGGAGAGAGAAAAGGGAAGGGAGGAAGAGGAAGAGAAAGAGACATTCTAGAAGAAAGGACAATGTTTTATATTGTAATATCTCTAGCAGCACTTTCTTCCTGCATTTTGGACACAGGCCCCTGCATTTTCCTTTTACACGATGCCCCGCTCACCCCTCTGTGCTCTGAAGAATCACTTTCTGAGATTCATGTACTAGAAGGGAAGGTGGCAAGGATACTTCCACTTAGGCAGCACTATGTAAGAGGGCTTCCCTCAGCATTCCCCAACCTTGAATGTAAGGCTCAGAAGTTAATTACGAATTGTGGGTTTCCGACTCTAAAGGGATCTGCTGACTGGGGTTGCCGCATGGGGTCACCTCCCTCACGCAGCTGCTGTAGGAGGAATTCTTATTTCTTCAGAACGACAATGAGTCACCTTGTATAAAGCATCACTGACACGTATGTATGAAATTTAATAGGACACCAACAGATAATAAAGTTGAAATTTTGCTGGGATATCCCCTTATTCCCTGTTAAAGAAGATAAACCCATAACATTCTGACATACAAAACACACCCGCATGTCGGGTTTGGATAAACCAGCTGTGAAAGGGGCACTATGGAGACGGTCAGAATAAGCCTGAGTATGGGCCAGGCATGACGAGATTTTAAAGAATTATTGTTAGTATTGTCAGGGGTGACAACGACATAGCGATTACGAAAAAAAAAATCCTTCAGAGACACAGGCTGAGGGGTTCACGGGTGAAATAACATCATGTCTGAGATCTGCCTCAAATGCTTCAGCAAAAGGAGCAACAGAAGAAGGAGACAGATGAACAGGCTGTGGAAGAGAAGATGAAGAAACAGACAGTGACAGAGAAGATGAAGGAGGAGAGAAAACATGTGAGCTAGAACAGGACTGGCAAAATGATTAACCTAGGTGATGGATGTGTGGGAACTCATTATGACATTTTTTATATGTTTTTCAACTCCCATAATGGACTCCGTGTGTGTGTGTGTGTGTGTGTGTGTGTGTGTACCTGTTGCCTACAGAAAAATTTCAAATAAAAACTAGGGCACAGATTTTTCATTCTCCTCCATACCAAATGTCTTTTTTTTTTTTTTTTTTTTTTGTGCGAGAAGCATTCTCTCAGACTGGCAGGAGCGCTCTCCGCTGAAGAGGTACAAAGGAGTTGATGGGAAGGATAATCTGCCCATGGGCTCCTGACACAATATAAAGAAGAAAAGGAGAAAGTGGGAGGAAGAGATCGCTATTGTTCCTCCCCTAACCCTTCCTTCTAATTATGCCAGAGTCAAGACTCGGGTCACAAAGAAAATGATTTTGGTGGTCAACCATTTGCCCTGTTTTGTATACATCAAAAAAGCTCTTGTTCTTACCACATTCCAATCTCACAGTTTCCCACCTACTTTAGAGACGTATCGAGAAGCCAGATTAACAAAAATATGAACAAAATGACTGTATTACAAGGAGCGCTTTGTCTGTACATCGGGAGAGGGCCTTCTTGTTGGGCTGACCTGCACGACGTGCACCACTTTACCAGTTAAATACGCTGCCTATTGCTCTAAGTATTTCCGATAAATGCTCAACATGCACAGCTTTGAGAAGCTGCATGTAAATTTCTCTCTTGAGTGCAGATGGTGGCCAAGCAAAGCAGCTCTTTGGTCGTAGAGACAGAAGGTCAGGTCATGGCTGAAAGACCAAAGAACAATCACTGCTTTGCTCCTCCAGATCATGCATGGAACGAGACACCACCACTTTCTTTTCTGAAGCTGCCTGTTCAGTATGAAATAGTTACAAAGAGCACCTCTAAGATTTCCCCACATTCTGTCCCGGAGAAAATGATAACAAGGACATCCCATCACAAACCCCTGGTAACCATTCCAAGGTTTTATTCCTACCCCCCGTGACCTCCTAAGAAGGCACATCTTTATCTAAAAGCAACACTAGAAATCATTATGAAACTGCTAATGTTTGACTAGGAAGCAGGAAATGTTTACAAATGAAAAAGCCTTCTTTAAAAATCCTGCCACTTTGGCCTCCCTATCATTGTTGGTTAATTGTTGCAGCGAGTTAGAGCTCTGAAAGACAGACATTACAAATTTACAAGTGATACGATAATCTTATTATTCTGACCTTGTTTTGTCTCCCTAGAACATCATCCTGGAATTTTAAATAACTCAGATAGTCTTATTTTTTTTTTTCAAATTAGTTCAAGTTGTTATGTTGGGCAGACATTATAGAATAATACAAAAGCATATAAGAATGCCTGGTGAGCATACCAAGATAACCTTTAAAGAAAAAAAAAAAAGTCATAATATGTCAGGAAAGGAAAGTTCTGTTTGGTTTGGTAGTGCTACACCTTCCGTTGCTGAAGGAGCATTATCCAATTCACTATCAGGCACGCCCCCAGCTGGATGCAACAAAACAGTTTCATTATCTGTATATGTTAATAATGAAAATGCTCAAAATTAAAACTCATAACACTCTGAATATAGTGGTACAAAAGCAGAATCTGATTCTGGTTGTTCAGATGTTAATTTAGTGCCAGGGATTTCAGCTACGACTTGAAAAACTTTTTCAAGTACTAAATTTCATTATCACTTTCATTTTTAATACTTTCCCCAATCGTCTTTACATCATCTGCATAGAGAGTTCACTGGGTTGAAAGGGAAAAGATGCTGGAAAGCATGGTAAAAGCTATGAACTAGAAATACATTTGAAAAAAAAATACTTTAAAGTTTACCTACTTTTAAATTGTGGTTTTAAAAAAAAAAAATACTGAAACCGAGAACTCATTTTACTGAATAGATTTACCAATCTGCTTCCATTGAACATAAAGAATGAAAACCTTCAATGTTCTATACTGTAACACAAAAGTAGAAAACCCAAAGTGAGTCTATTAGAACTGCCTCTCTCAAAACTTCATCCATGTCATCAATTAAAATTGGAGTAGCTACACAATCTCAACAAAGATATAACATAAAACATCTGTTCAACTGAAATGGAAGTAAGCACCATTTCCCCCTAACATTTCTAATTTCCCTGTATTTAAGGCTTCTTGTGCAAACGTATTCATGGTTATCTTAGTTAAAACTGGTTTCACTCTGCCAACAATCAAGTTGATTGACATATTTACATATCAACTCATCTCATCTTACAAATTTTAAACTTTTTCACTTAAAATTGGATTCAAGTTGGCATCTTTCAAGAACTTTATGTACGTATATTTTAGGTTCAAACTGTGCATTAGAACATTTTTTTTTTTTACTTTTGTAAGTAATAGATACACATATCCAAATGTATATTTATGACCTGTCAGATTGGGATTTTATATGCAGGCAGTTGTATTCTCACCATTTCATGTGAAAGGTGATAATTTTAGGCAAGTATAAATGAAATTCTTTTAATAGTATAAACGGGATTGTTCCATTAGTTAGAAGCAATATAACAGAAATAAATAACTTACATCTTTAATTATGTCTTTAATCGTTGTAGTTACACTTGTCATCTCTTACCTCATCTTTAATTTCAAGATCCCTTTTAGTTTTTGTTCTGTACTCTCTGTGTTCCTTCTCTGCCTCATCCTTCTCCATTTTGGTTTTATTCAACTGATAGCGCATTTCCCCACACACCTGTTAGATTGTAAAAACTAGATCAATAGCTGCGGGAATCTACCAGGCCATGCCTGCAATCAGATCTTTTGGTGCCCCCTAGAGGTCATACACATAAAGTACAGGAGAACTTTCCTAAGAACGGCCTTTTCGGTTAGAATATTCAATGTATTCTGTTAAGATGTGAAGGCAATATCAGGTATCAATGAATTTAACAATTTCAAATTATGATAAAGAAATGTATAACTAGGAAGTTTAAGTAATGTGCCCAAGATTTTTTGTGTAAAATAATTTTCAATTGCATATTATCATCCAAAATGCATTATCGTCTCCATTTTATGTAGATAAAATCATTAATTAAAATATTAAGCTATGTGACTATCCATTCAAATTGTTATGGTTTAAATATACAGTCTATATAGTAAAGTTTTCCTTTAAAGATTTGATCAGTTAGGCTTTTATTTAAGGAAATTTATAAAGGAATTTTTCTCTCTGCTAAGAGACCGTATGGTATTAAGGTGTATAGTAGAACGCAGTAGTTAACTGTAATCCTTGTAGACAATGTCAATCTTAAGAACTGTGCGATGTATTTAAGTTAATAAACACTGTCTGACAAAAGGCATGGACAGGAACCATTTATAACTGTAGCATTCAACATAAAAGGAAAATACACATTTAAGTGAAATGATTTTAACATATCATTAAATAATGAATACAAATAGCATCTTAAAAGTGTCATGATTCATCCTTTATACAATTTTCTTTTTCAATCCAGGGCCTCTACAGACAGGTAAATATATTTGGAAAATCCAACCAGCAGATAAATCTAAACAAAGAAATTATGAGCCTTTGAGATAACTGAGAACCTGCAGAGAGATTAATTAACACACAAGTCTGTTAATTCAGTCTTTGATTTACAGATACAACTTTTTAAAAATCATGTATCATTCAAAGGTTATAGTTGCTTGAAACTTTTCAATTTGGGGATTTCTCCAAAACTGATTAGAACTTCAGAAATTAGTTTTTATCATTACTGAGGTATTAGAATCTTACAAAACCTTTATCTCCCATGTTCAAATAAAATATACTTTGAAAAATAAACAAATCTGTGTCTAAATGTTATAGTGACAAGACAGAGGAAAGTAAGTTTTTCTCCCCAGTGCCCCTCAAAATGCTAGAAAAAGAATAAAATTACAAAAAAATTGATTTGAAATTCAGATGCCTTGAATGTATCAGAGCTGACCCCCCTCATTTCAGAAAAAAATAAAAATAGTAATTTACAAAAAGTTATTAATTTTAAAGATAAATAAAGTTTAAAATTAAGAATGACAGAAAAAAATTAGGGCCCCAATTTGCTTGCTTTCTTATTCTTATTCCAATTTATTTGATTTAAACACATGAATGAAATGAAAAAAACCCAATTGATAGTACCAAAAAAAATAATAATTACCCAGTCATTGTGTTTCAAACCCAATACCAACACAAAATTATTGTTTATCATTATATGTCTAAGCATTCAGTTTTATTTAAAATTATTTCATCCCTTAATTTTATTTTTAAAGTTCCCTTGCCTTACTACTTTCACTTTAGCACCTGCTAAGTTAATCCATAACCCTTAAGTTTAACTAAAACAAACTGGCAAATTAAATTGAAGTAGAATGGTATCTCAGGGTTGGAGTCACACAAGGAATGCTTCTAATGCTTGAGTCTTTCTGGAAGGTTCTAAAGACAGAGGGAGCATCTTTACTGTACACATTCCAACAGAAAATTCTCTCCCGACAATGGACTGGACCCTCTCATCACTAGCTTTCCCCTATAAATCTGTATTAACCACAGCCAGCCCTCGATATCCATTCCCTTACTTCTACCCCTACCTTCACACAAACACATTTAGGATATTGGAACATATGGTATTTTAAAACTTTTATGTTAGCTAGCTTGAATTTTAGAAAGCAAATGGAGAATTACAGAAATTCAAGGGAAAAATAAGAAAATATAGGCTTTGTTTCTTCTGTATATAAATTAAAGGTAAGTTTAATTACTAAGTCATAAAGCAATAGTGGCATTACAAATGTGTCAACATTTAGGAAGATATACTGACAAGTAAAATGCAGTATGAAAAGGTATGGATTTCAAACAAAATCATCTGTGTAAATTGGTAAAAAAAAATCAATCGATTGAATTTATTACATCATGCATGCCTATATTTAGTTTCTTACTTTTAAAGCAACTTATTGCTGAAATCTACATGAACTTTAGTGTTCCATAAATATGTACCTTAGAGTAACCAGCAAAGACTATTAAATATTTTAGTTTTTGGTTTACAAGCTTGTAATACCCATAGCGCAGACACCGTGATATTTTATTTTATTTTAAGATTTTATTTGACACTGATATTTTAAAGTATTAAAATAAGACACTTGGTGTTGGAGCTTTGATTTTAGAGTCCGGGTTGAAAAGGAATGGGAGGTGGAGAATTTTTTATGTTAAGCACACTCTTCATGTGGTAAATAAATCTCTTTTACTATCACTGTGGAGACCAAACCCATGCGATCTCTGGTGTTTAACATCTCTCCTGTCTAATTTAGAAACATAAGTTTTATCAAATATTCAATGATTAAAATAATGAAACTTGCTAACTGACAAGTCTGTCTCAGCCATTTAACCTTGAGTTCTTCCAGGACATTATTTGTGTCTAATTCATCTTCTGCACTTGCAGCACCTATCAGAGGGCCTGTCAATAATAAGTAAATGCTGGCCTCATGACCATTACGCAGATCTTTACTATCTTAAATAACAAAACTTCTCCACTCCAAACTGCTTTCTGAGCTTTGTACATTAGGAAAAAATTAGAAACTAAAATCTCACTTTGTACCTTTGTGACATCCATTTCTTTGGAAGCAAGCTGGTTTTGAACTTCCTCGAGCTGATTAATAGCTGAAATCTTCTCTCTCGTAACCTTTTCAACCTGGGCCTCCAGTTGGGCAATGTTTTGAGACAGGGACAACATCTGTAAGAGGAAATAGAAGTCCTAAACCATAACGCCATTTGACACAATAAATATATATATATTTTTAAAGATTTTATTTATTTATTTGACAGAGAGAGAGAGAGTTCACAAGTAGGCAGAGCAGCAGTCAGAGAGTGGGGGTTGGGGGCAGGATCCCTGCTGAGCAGAGAGCCCGATACAGGTCTCGATCCCAGGACCCTGGGATCATGACCTGAGCCGAAGGCAGAGAATTAACCCACTGAGCCACCCAGGTGCCCCTGACACAATAAATATTAAGAACATTGATTATTCAGCCATAAAAAAGAATGAGAATTTGCCATGTGCAACAACATGGATGGACTTAGCGTAATGCTAAGTGAAAGAAATCAGAGAAAGACAAAATATCATATGATTTCACTCATTTGGAGAATTTAAGAAACAAAACAAAGAAAAAAAAAGAAACAAAGAAAAAACACAGACTCTTAAATACAGAGAACAAGCCTCCCCCCAGAGGGGAGGTTGGTGGGGGATGGGTGAAATAGATGAAGGGGATTCAGAGCACACTTATCTTGATGAGCACTGAGCAATGTATAGACCTGTTGAATCAGGGGTGCCTGGGAGGCTCAGTGGGTTGGGCCTCTGCCTTCGGCTCAGGTCATGATCTCAGGGTCCTGGGATGGAGGCCCACATTGGGCTCTCTGCTCCGTGGGGAGCCTGCTTCCCCCCTGTCTCTCTGCCTGCCTCTCTGCCTACTTGTGATCTCTCTCTCTCTCTCTCTCCCTCTGTCAAATAAATAAATAAAATCTTAAAAAAATAAACAACTGTTGGATCATTACATTGTATACCTGAGACTAATATACTACTATATAAAAAAAATCTTGAATTAATGGGAGTCTCGGCACGGCCACTGGATTCGCTCTTAAGCCATTTCTCTGTGGACTGGGTATGCCCATTTTTCCACTTCCTCAACTCACCCATCCCCCACGACTTAAATATGTACTTCCTTCCCATTCATTCCCTGGTCTCTACCCTCATTTTGGGAAACACATGTAAAATGGTAAGACCAAAGTTTGGGTTGAAACTTTAAGGTGACAGACAATCTATACAAGTTGCGGAAGGGACTGATATGAATAAATTTCAGAGGCGATGTCAAGGAATCAGAGAAGTCTGGGAAGCCTGGGCAGCTCAGTTAGTTGGGCATCAGACTCTTGGTTTTGGCTCAGGTCATGATCTCAGGGTACTGGTTCGAGCCCCACATTGAGCTCCCGCTCAGTAGGGAACCTGCTTGAGATTCTCTACTCTCCTTCTCCTTCTGCCCCTCCCCCAAAGCTCACATGTGTGCACACACTCTCTCTCTCAAATCAATAAATCTTAAAAATGATTAAATCTTACAAAAAAAAAAAAAGAAAGAAAGAAAGAAAAGAAAAGAAAAAAGAAAAAAGGAAAGAAAAGAAAAGAAATCGGGGAAGTCTTAAACCCTTCTCCCAAATGGAGGAATAAAAGGACCGGACGGGAGAGCTGGAGAGGCGGGTATCTTTAGAGAGAACTACTGGGGTTCTGTGCATCCTACTCCCCTCCTCCCAACACCAACAGAGGCGGCTCTGGCACTTCCTGAAAAACCCCACCCACCCTCCTGTTCCCTAGTACCCCCATTCCTCTTCTTAGCCATCATTCCCTCTCCTCGGGAAGGTTTCTTCGACCTCTCCCTCCCAGCACAAAACAGGAGCCCCTTCCCACACTCAGGGCTGCTATTTGCTACTCTGTACTGGGACAGCCATGTCTGCTGTCAGCGGCTGGCATCCACTCGCACGGATTGCTGCCCACGCGGTGCTGGTGGTTTAATATCTTGACTCTCTCTGGATGCGCTGCCCCCACCACCTCTGTATATCCCCATCACACCACAACGTGCCACGCCTGTGTACTTCCCGCCCCACGCACTTGTCTCACTGTTTAGTTGTTTCCTCCCTTAGACTACAAGTTCCTCAAGGGCATGTTCCTCAGGAGGCACAAGTGTTTGACAAATGAACGGATCATTGGAATAAATAGGTTTTCGGAGGAGCTATCCACTCTATGAATGTCAGCTTCTTACTTTTTCTTCCCAGGGCCGAAAAATGCTTTCTAGGTCTTAGATTTAACCTTTACAGCCTTTTATTTGCAATGATATTTTACTCTGCTACAGGAAGTCAAAATTTCCTAGACTCTTAATTTCTTGTTTGTATTGGCAGCTTTAAAAGTGAAGAAGAAATGCTACCTTCCTAGAGAGGGAAACGCAGAGATATCGATCAGTTTTTAATCTGTTAAACAAAAGCACATAACAAAACTGAAAGAGTATTTTAGGGGTACCTGCGTGGCTCAGTTGGCTAAGCGTCTCCCTTCAGCTGAGGTTGTGATCCCAGGGTCCTGGATTGAGCCCCACAATGGGTTCCTTGCTCAGCAGGGAGCCTGCTTTTCCCCCTCCCACTCCCCTTGATTGTGTTCCCTCTCTTGCTGTCAAATGAATAAATAAAATCTTTAAAAAACAAAACAAAACAAAACAAAATGGAAAGATTATTTTAAATTTACTGTAGTACACAGACATGGGTGTGAATTCAGTTTTACAACTGAAATCAATAATAACGCAACGTTTGTGATAAAAATCAAGATTGCCTTTGAATTATGTAACTAGTTCAAGTTGACACATATGAAAATAATGAGCCCTGGTAGTGATTTTCTAATTAAATGGTAGATATATTAATTAACTTTTCCGGGGATTGTGAAGAATTGTACATTTGACTTATGGCTGTTTACATGTCTTTCTTATCCTCAAAAGACTGGCTGAAATCTAATTTGCACATAATATTACTTTTACTAATACCAGGCTACAAACTATTCTAATGCATATTGCAATCTGAACCCCAAAATGAAAGTCAAAAGAAGTTAAACGCAACCAATAAAGAGACTAATTTATATCTCTAATTTAAAAAATTCAAGTTCATGAGTATCCATATTATGAAGGTAATTATAGCTCTTCTGGAACCACACAACAGCAGCGAACTTTAATTACCAGCTACTAAAAATCATACTTACATGTGAAGATATATCTTATGGTAAACATATTAACATTGGTGGTTTCTGAAATAAATATGCAGACATTCACTTGCTAATTGTAAATTCCAAGTCAGTTTCTATTATAAGCATGTAACAAATCACACTCCCTCCATCTGATTCCCTCCCTCTGCCACCCATCACTTCTTTCCTCTGCCCACTACCTGTCTGCTCCCTCCTGTCACCCACTTCCTGAGGCCTCCGCTCCTGTTGTCACACCTTCTTTTCCCCCACGCCCACCATCTGGAAGTCAGCATTACACTGCAGGAGCTTCTCCATCCACATCTGTTGCAGAGACAGAAGGAACACAGACAGCTGCAACACTGCTGGATGTCCAGGGCGTCGACATCAGGTAAGTCCTTTAAACTTTGACAGGGGCAAGCAAGAGACAAGGACACCCAGGCTGGAAGAGCTTGATGGAAATCTTTAGGCTAAAGCAGTCCCTGGTGTCCTGAACGTGGTATAAAGTGGTAGTCGCTACAGAACAGGTGCGAGAATGAAGGATGCTAGCCATGGACTGTTATCAAGGGAACCAACTGAAAAAATGTGCAGACCAGAGGGGGCGCTCACTAAGTATGATAAATGACAGATTGAACTAACAGACCCAGGGGCTCGGTGCAGCCAAGGACCATAACTGAAGACAACAAACAAACTCACAGCAAGTACTGATCATGGGGGGAATGATTCAAAATCTGTCTAGGTAGAAGACATCTGCTCTCCTAGAGCTTCCCACACACGCGAAATTTAATGAGAACGAGTCAGGAGAAAGGAAAGAAAAATAATAAAAAGAGAGGAAGAAAGTCTGAAAGTCTCACAAGCCTTCCTGACTGCTCAGAAAGGGGGCGGGGGGTGCTTGCTTTAGCCCTAACTACGGAGCTCTCACAACATGAGGATGAATTGTTCAGTCTCCCGCTTCGATTAACGTCCTCTGCCAGGCTGAGTGATACACATTCTCTCTTTTCATCCCCTTGAAGGGCGAATCATATTGAATTAATTTTCAGTTGAAAAAAATGAGATTCAGAAAATTAAGGAATTGCCGAAGTTCACTGAAGCTAATGAATCAAAAGTAAAGCCAGGCTTTATATTCAAATCTGTCAGCTTTACTATCCAGAGGCCCGAGAAATCTGTCCCATCTGGCTGGCGGCTTCTCTTTCCCTGGAGTAAGAATGGTAATAGCCTCGAGCTAAGTTATTAAATGTCCACTCTAAACCAAGTATCTTAGGCCCTTTCGAAACATTCACATTTAATCCTATCAATTCCTCCAGTAGACCAACTCCTTTACTTACTCCTCTGAAATTTGGAGAGGTCAAATGAATTATTCAAGGTCACAGAAAGCTCAACCTGCATTCAACTCTAAATCCTTTGACCCCAACCCAAAGCCACCTACTGCCATCTCCTGGTGATGGCCATGCCCAAGTGCAAGGACCACTCTGAGCCCTTCGTTCAGACACTTTATTTAGGGCGGGACCTTGAGATTCAATGTCAGCCAAGGCTGGTCTTTGCTATGGGTCCCATTTTCTATCACACACACAACATGCAATACACAGTCTCCGCCCCTCCATGCCTCACACTCAGTTACAGCCAGCATTCCTCTCCCCGTGCTCTGCATTTCTGAAACCCACCTACACTCTAAAACTCAGCGAAATCACCATGTTCCTCACAAAATCTTCCATGATCTCTTGCAGACACAGACTGTCCTGACCCTCTGAACAAACATCTTAGTCATACCTTTCCGACGGCACAGGGCCTTTTTCCTTCCCCTATACTCTATTCATTCACTCATTCGACAAATACATGTGGAGCACATTCTATGGGAGTGGGATATGCCAAGAAATGATGATATTAATGAACCACACATCCAGGGGACTCAGCGTAAACTGGGGGAGACAGACAATTCAGTAAGAATTTGCAGTTAGTTGAGTTATAGGAGCCCATAGGGAGGCTCTCGATTCATCTCTGGGAGTAGGTGGTAACTAGAAGGACTCTGAAGGGTCGGTTGGAGAGGGCAAGGGGCCAAGCATGTGCAAAATCCTGAAATGAAAGCACAGCATGGCAGACGGGCACGTTTGTGCTGCGGAGAGTGCGGTAGGTCAGTACGGTGGCAATGCAAGAAGAGAAGCGGAGGGAGAGGACACTGGAAAGCCAAAAAGAGAAAAAGAGAAAAAGAAATGTAGAATTTTCAAGTGATTCTAAAGGATCCTAAATTTTATCCAAGGGGTTGCAGGGAGACATGAAAGGATTTTAAAGCAAGAGACTGACATATTGACATGTTCATTTTAGAAAGATCATCCTGGCTGTGGCTTAGATGAGAGGGAGGTGAGACTGGAAGGAGGGGGGCTCAGGGCTATAGAAATCATCCAGGGTTGAGGTCCAGATAGCAGTGGGGTGGTCAGACAGGGCAATGGGAAATTCCTAGGTGCATGAGTCGCTAGAATTTGATGACCTAATGATGAGTAGGGTGAGGGAGGGAAAGGGCACAAGAATATCAGCAAGATTTGGGCGTTGGAAACTGGATGAATGGCGGCTCCCCTGGGAGAGGGAGGACAGGAAGTGAAGCTGGTTTGGGAGCTCACTGGGGAGCTGGGGATTTAGGAATCGATTCCACATACATGAAACTGGGAGCAGCAGTAATGCTGAAGACCCCAGAATCTAAAGCTCTCTGCTACACTCTAGACCTTTCCATCAAGCTGCTTTCAGGATGTGTTTCCTTCCTTGCCTCAAAGGCACTTTAAACTCAGAGAAAACGGAAAGGCACACACCATCATTCTCTCAAATCAAGAATATAGATCCAAAGAAATCAAGGAAAGAGAATCTTTTAAAGGGAAAAAGAACTAAAAAATATTCCCTAAAAGTAGCACAAGGAGGGCTTCCGTGAACATAATGAGAGGTGAAAGAATGGAGATGACACGTACAGACAGACCTTTCGAGAAATGTGCCCATCACGGGGAAGATCATGGAGGGACATGGAATCACTGTGGTGGCTTCCAACCTTGGCTGCACATTGGAATCCCCTGAACAACTTTAACAATACTGACACCTGGATCCTAACCACAGCTGTTTACACATCTCGGTTTGGGATGCAGATGGACAGTAAGATTTCCGGAGCCTCTGTGGAGCCAAGATTGAGAACTAACCGGATTGGAAGATTGTTTCTTTCAATGGATGAGAGAAACCTGAGCAGCTTCTCCTCATAAGGAAGACAATTCAGTGGGGGGGAGGGGAACAGAAATGCTATCCCTGAGGGGCACTGGGGTGGCTCAGTCGGTTGAGCTCCCGACTCTTGCTTTCGGCTCAGGTCATGATCTCAGTGTCTTGGGATCCAGCCCTGCGACAGGCTTCGCGCTCAGCTCAGAGTCTGCTTGTCCCTCTCCCTCTGCCTTACCCCCCCCAAATAAATAAATAAATAAAATCTTTACATTAAAAAAAAGAAGAAGAAGAAAAAGACCTCCCTGAGGTGCAGGAAGAGAATGGAATCCAGGGCAAAGGGAATGAATGAGCGGGCAGTTTCTCCTGTTCTGACGGGGTTGGTATCCTGGTAGAACTTTACTTGAAGGCACAAGTGAGAGGGAAGTGAAATAGGAGAAATGGTTGAAGTTAAGTAAGGCTCTCTGCTGAGAAGTTAAGTAAGGCTCTCGGCTGAGAATGAGGGGAACGCTGGTACAGTAGAGATTCTGAGGAGAATAAAAGTGATTTAAAATGGTCCTTGAAAATGGGCCCGAGATACCATCATTGCCACCTGGACTAGGATAATTACCTCCCACCTGATCTCCAGGCATTTATTCTGATTTTCCTTCCAATCTCTTGACAGATGGTGCTTCTCAAATATAAATGGCATCATGACGCTGCCCAATTTAAAGTTGTTCAATTAGTTTTCGGATAAAATTAAAAATCACGTGCACTTTAAGGCCATCCGCGCTTTGGTCCCTACATACTACCCCAGCCTCATCCCCCGCTACTGTCCTCACTCCCATGCTCCGGTCACCTGAGCCTTCTTGAAATTCCGAAAAAGTCAGACGCTCCTTAGCTTCAGAGTCTGGGGGTGTCATTTCCCTGGCGTGAAGCTCTTCCCCTTGACTCTTCACCCCACCGCTCCCACTCAACCCTTTCGAGTTTGTAAAATCTCTTCCATAGGACAGTCTCTCCTGACGGCCTGGATTCGGACATGCCTGACTCGTACATTCCCTGGTCCCCTCTACTGTGCTTGCCCTGCCTTTATCGCAGTAATCAGAGTTCGATTAAAAATCACGTATGGGGGCGCCTGGGTGGCTCAGTGGGTTAAAGCCTTTGTCTTCGGCTCAGGTCATGATCCCAGGGTCCTGGGACTGAGCCCCGCATTGGGCTCTCTACTTAGCGGGGAACCTGCTTCCTCCTCTCTCTCTGCCTGCCTCTCTGCCTACTTGAGGTCTCTGTCGAATAAATAAATAAAATCTTTAAGAAAAAAAATCACGTATGGAAGCGTTTAATGTCTTCCTCTCCCTCCTCTGGAAGCGGGACTGCAAATTCCGGGGCCCTCCAGTCACCATCTGCTGAGTGTGGCAAAAACGGGGGAGAGGACTGCACGGCGGGACTGCTGGGAAGCAGCGGGAGCACCGCGGACACCAGGTCATGACACACAGTGGCGCTGTCTGCAAGGGTCAGATCTCCCGCCCTGGCCATAGAGGCAGACGGTCAGACTGACCGTAGAGCGAGGTTCTGACAGGTGCCACTTTTCGAAAGGCTGAGACAAGGGAGTTTATAGTAAATGCCTCCGACACTCACGTGACTTAAAACCCCTGGACATAACTTGTGATCTTCCTCTTTATATAACCTCAGGAGTACACACTGGCCTTGCACATAGCGACACTCAGGAGCCGTGTGCTGAGCAACATGAACATGACACACCAGAGTATCACAATAACACAGCATTCGGGGGTACACGCTGCGAGTCACTTTAAAAACAAAACTAAACAAAACATGCAACGGCTGTTTTGGTGATTTTACGGACCCCACGTTGCTCAGTTTTTACTCTATCGTAGCAACTTTAAAGATTTATTTATTTTAGAGAGAAAGTGAGATAGCGTGTGAGCTGGGCGAGGGAGCGGGGGGACAGAGAAAGAATCCCAAGCAGACCCCACACTGAGCACGGAGACCACCTGGGGCTCCCTCTCATGACCCTGAGATCATGACCTGATCGAAACCAAGAGTCGGACACTCAACTGACTGAGCTACCCAGGTGCCCCCACTGCAGCAACTTTAAAGCTAGGTTTTAATTCCGTATCCCAGTTTATGACTCTTTTCCAAATGCTGCCCATTTCGTGTTAGCTGTTCCTTTTGCCTTTCTTCTCTTCCCTCCGTGTGTTCATCTGGTTATGTTCAGTATTCATCACGCAGTTTGTCAGAACCTACTTTGTACAGTGTATATAATTACTTTTTCTTGGTTACTTGGTTTCTTACATGTGTTTCATCTTCTACAAGTCTAATTTGAGAGTGGGGGAATCAGTGGGGGAGTCATCTCTCCTGAAGTAGCCCAGGTTGAAATAAAGTCTGGGTATCTGCAGAGCACCTGCTTTTGTCTGACAAACATGAGAGAGGGAATCAAACAGAATGGTGGGATCAAAGTATAATCTTACAATTTCCTATCACGGAATCGAATTGATTATTTTACTTGGAGAGGTCTGAGAGTATAACTTTTCTCGAGAAATTGGTGGGAGAATGGAAAATTTCTATGAACTCTAGATTACAAGTAACCGACTACTTGCGGAGTGTTCATTCAAGAAGGCCAGCCTACCGCATCGCCGGTGACATCACCAAAAACATTTCTGCCACAGCAGGTAACAAAGTGAATCCACAAGTACCTTTGATCCCGTGTCCTCCCGTTCTTTTGTTATTTCTTTTCTCATTGTCTCCTTCTCAAAGGCCCTTTTCTCTTGCTGAGATGCGAGTTCTTTTTCCAGTCGCTCTGTCTGCCTCTCCAGTTCATTCTTCAACTGCTCACACTGGATTAAAGCCTGCCAGAGGAAGATGGGAGTGAAACAGGGCCTCTGACTTTGCAAAAAATGAGAGGAAAATGAGACAATTAAGCTTCAATTTTATTTAAAATCATTGCAACTCACTGTAAAGCCCATTAGAGTAATTTTATATTTATTTGTCAATACCACTCACAAAACTAAAACACTATTCAAATGTCACTTTTATTCACACATTTCAATTTTCACAATTAAGGCTATATTTACTAAGCAACTAAGAAAATTCAGGTTAATGAACTCTGATGAACACCACAGATGAATCCAAATTTTGAAAACAAGAAACAGAAAAATCAAGCGATCTAATATTTTTCAATTATATAGCATATTTATACTAAATGAAATATAGAGGTATCCAATTTAACTAACTTTTCATTTGCTTATGGTTAAAAATTAGTGAAATACTTCAAAACTTAAAATGAGATGTACTTGTTATTATATACAACATCTATTTTTAGCATCATCAAGTAATCAAATTTCCTTAAATATAACTAGGATAAGATTTAGTTCACTCTCCTTATAAACATAACAAAAGTAAAAATTAAGTAATAATAAAAAATTAATAAAAAATAATAATAAATAAAAAATTAGGTAATAAAAAATAATTTAAAAATAGTAATAATAAAAAATTTAGATAAAGACTCAAAACAACATTTACTACCTAGTTTTATGAAATGAGAAGTGCCATCTTTCACTGCTGGTAACTTACAAGTCCACAGTTGTTCCTTAGTCTTAATTTCCCACTCTGAATTTCTAGAAGTAAAAACTTTCTAACTTCCTTTTAACTACATCTACTATCTTTATGAAAAATACCCAATAGGAAACTAATTTCAAAATTCCAATTTAAAAAAACCCCAATAAATGTAAGGTGCTTGACACAGAACCTCTGAGTCATTCTATAGTGTCTTAGTCTGATCCCAGTGGCTTCTTATCCAATATCCGACATCCACCTCATTCAAATGCTGTGTTCCCCTGAATTGGAAACCCAAGTAACCCAAGTCTCACATGACTTACAAACTGTGTAAGTATGTATCAAGTTACATATTTGATAGTCACATCTGTTGTGGATGATGAGGGAAGTGGTCTTAGTAACAAATGCATAGCTTTGCTTCCCTCTGGTGAAAGCTATAACAAATACAGACAATAAATTATCTAGGGTATGTGAATTTGCTTCTCTTCACCTGGAAGCCATTAAACCCTAATTTACTTCAAATTCTTCTGGAAAGTTTCTACACTCCTAGACATGAAATAGGTGGGTAAAACTCAATTGTCTCAGATTAACTGACAAGCACATGTAGTGACTGAGAAATGATTCTCCTACGGACTTGGTCCCAAGTTCAATTCTAGTTGAGAATGTACATAAAATAAAATTCTCCATTAGATTTGAAAAGAAGTGGAGGGTGCCTGGGTGGCTCAGTGGGTTGGGGCCTCTGCCTTCGGCTCGGGTCATGATCTCAGGGTCCTGGGATCGAGCCCCACATCAGGCTCTCCGCTCGGCGGGGAGCCTGCTACCCCCTCTCTCTCTGCCTGCCTCTCTGCCTACTTATGATCTCTCTCTGTCAAATAAATAAATAAAAATCTTTTAAATAAATAAATAAAAGAAGTGGAAAAGCAGAGTTTTCCTATAATTTAAGCCCTTGGAGTGGGATAGATTATGAATTTCAGATTTTTTTTTTTGCCTCAGAACACAATTGCTGTTGTGAAAAATACTTTATATGAACCTACTAAAAATGTTCATAACTTTCACAGATCTAATACCACTGGCATGACAGAATGAAATGACTATTGACTACAAACCAATATTTCCAATCAGAAGCTTCTTCACTGAACAAAAACTCAGGAGTCAACAGTATTAAGCACAGAACAGCGGAAGGGACTGTGGAAGATCAAAGAGCGGGCTGACATGAAGAACCAAAGAACCAATTCCAAGAAGTCAGTCAGTTTGGGAACCAGGAACAGTAAATGATCCTGACAGCATAAGAGGCCTAATCTCAGGATAAGAGGATATAAATGAAAAGTATAACGTACAAGGCAAGAAGCTGTAAATCACTTAAAACCATTGCTGAAGGCTTCTCCCTCTTAGGGCTCACCACCATGAAGAGGTAATGATGAGGAGATAAGTAAAAGAAAGGGCTTTTATTTGTCTTGATTTTAATATATATGCCAGGTCCCAGTGAAGAAATTATGAAGGACCAGTAACACTTGGATTTATAGAAGCAATTTAATCTTTCTAAAGATAGCTCTCTTATCGTGGCTCTCACATACTAGAAGGTCAAGGAGAACTAAACAAATGTTTATACAGTCTTTCCATTATAACTTTACCTTTAAAAAAAAAAAGAATTTATTTATTGGAGAGAGAATGCACACAAGAGGGCACAAGCAGGGGGAGGGACGGAGGGAGAGGGAGAAGGAGGCTCCCTGCTGAGCAGGGAGCCCAAGGAGGACTCGGGGCTCCATTTCAGGACCCTGGGATCACAACAGGAGCAGAAGGCAGATGCTTAACTGAGTGAGCCACCTGGTGCCCCAAAGCTTCACCTTTTCATTCCAGGGCTCCCTCTCCCAGTTTCCAGAAGCCCTGCTGATCCAGTGCTCCCTGATTCTGCTCATCTAACTATTCCATAAGGGCATAACTGAATTCTCACAAGCGAGGTCAGTAAATGGTCAGTTACGGCTATAGCTGACAGACCTTCGGAGAGGCCCAAGTTGATGTGGGGACTGCAGCTTCCATTTCTTCCAGAGGTTCCCCAAGGGGTGGCTTCCTTCTCTCCCTGAGCACAGCCCCTTTTTGATGGAAATGGCTGTAGCTCCAGGAGTTGAGGGAATTACACTATTGACCCGCCCAGTCAACTCAATCCTCCAGAGACCTTTTCTCTTCTGGGAAATTTCTTTATTTGTGGTTATTCAACGTTGGCCACATTAACATATTTTTCAAAACATAATTTATTGGACTTGATATTCCCAGCCCTAGTTTTATTAAACCAACAAGTATGGGTTACTGTCTTAATGGGGTCAAAACACTTTCTGAAACAAATTTATATCTAGTCAACTCCATTTTTTTAAATAGGAAGCCTATTTTAGGACATATGAAAATTCTTCCCAAGTGCTAGCGTTAGGTTTCTAGAAATCCTTGTGACCAAAGAATTCACAATTCAGGAATTAAAATCTTCTGAGAAATAACAAAATTCACACTTAAGAAAATGAAATTTAAGGGATGCCTGGATGTCTCAGTCGGTTAAGCATCTGCCTTCGGCTCAGTTCGTGATCCCAGGGTCCTGGAATCCAGCCCTGAATCAGGCTCCCTGCTCAACAGGGAGTCTGCTTCTCCCTCTCCCTCCGCCTGCTGCTCCCCCTGCTTGTGCTCTCTCTGTCTCTTAGATAAATAAAATCTTTTAAAAAATTAAATATAAAATTCACGTAAAAATTTATGAAAATGTTTTCATTTTTGTGAACTATATAGCCCACAAAACTAAAATGATTGTCAATATGTTTTAAGCACGTAACTTACAAATAATGACAACTACTGATTTTTTAATTTATAAACTCTTCCTTGCTAGAAACTTATCAGTCTGTCCCTATCTCCCATTTTCAAGATGTTAATATCTTGTTTCTGTTTCGTGGCAGATAATGTACACATCAAGAAGTGATGGGGCACCTGAGTAGCTCATAAGCATCTGGCTCTTGGTTTTGCCTCAGGTCATGACATCAGTTCATGACCTCCCCTCTGAGTGTGGAGCTTGCTTAAGATTCTTTCCTTTTCTTTCTGCCCTTTCCTGCTCCCAAACCCACTTGCACAACCATTTTCTCTCTCTTTAAAAAAAAAAAAAAGAAAAGAAAAAGTGCATTATATTCTCTGCTTGGGCTTGCAATCAAATGACCAAATGTTTTGATCTTTTCACTTTAGGTTTCTAATTTTTGCCTTTCTGATTCTGTAGTCTAAGCAAAGAATAATTTCGAAAGGAAAAAAAAAAGGTTTTAGGGACACTTAGTCATGGGTTTCTGTCTTTTGTGGTTTTTTGTTTTGTTTTGTTTTTTTTAAATCTTGCCTTGGAGGGTTATCTCATTATAGATACACTCATGATAACTTCATACCAAAACCAACAATTTCCCTTTCAATAGAAGCAAGCAGGTGTGAGGCCTGGTTAACCGTTTCATGTTGTAGCTTTACCAAGGCATCACTGCAGAACCTCTGCTTCCCCCACCCCATTTATCCGGAGGATATTTTTTTTCTCTCTTTTAAAAAATGATCGCTGGTTGTAATGGCTTGCAATTTTCATAGTAAATCAAAACCATTTATTGATCACTCACCATGTGCCAAATACTCTGCTAAATGGCTTACATGGATTACTTTAGTTAACACTCTTACTAAATTTTAAGTAGATCTTATCACTCAACAGAAGAAACAGCAGCTCTGAGACATTATGTATCTGCCCGGGATCACAGACCTAAACAGTGGCAGAGCAGAGATTTGAGCCAGGGGGTTCCACAGCTGAATCGATGCATGGCATTACAGCTTTTTCATGTTATAGATTTATTTCCTTATAAAATCCTCGGGTGTTTTCACTGCCATCGTCAATTTAAGTATAGAACTTAGTTAAAAATTCTCTGGTGCACTTACTTAGCCTGCAATGTGCAAATGGGAACACTAGGTGGCAACAAATATCAAGGAACCCATTCCATCAGCTCAAGGATCAAGTTGTTGGTTTCGAAATTAAAATACGGATTCCATTTTACTTTTTTACTACTCTCACTAAGCAAAATTCCTATTATGTTTCAACATACCTAAGATAAATCCTAATAGATGTGCATTGTATTTTGTAAACTGCACAGAAATCCGTTCTTGCATTATTACTAATTCAAGGAAAAATGCTTTAGATTTGCAATACACAATAGCTTCTTTTGTTCTTAACTGTTAGATATTTAAAAGCACTAATTACAAAAATCCATATTCATAATTAAAGCTAACAATTGACTTTGATTCAATTCAA